TAATAATTACTTCCAATTGTCCGATTAAAATATTAGAAAAAAAAAAATTAAAACCAAATGAATGGTAGGTACAATAAGATAAATTATTATTACATATTATAGTCCTTAATAATATAAGTAAATAAAACCGGATGATAATAATATAATATAATATATATACAACATTAACGTTTAATTTCCGTTCCTCTAGTTGAAACTTAGAGATAGGAAATCATAGGACCGTCAATTAATTATTATAATTTATATTACGGATAACAAAAAGCAATCTAATTTAATAATTAAATTACATTTATACACAGTGATTTCCAAATTTCATGTTACAAAAATCGAGGGGATTGCGTTATGCTCTATTAAGTAAGCATTACCCGTTGTTTTTCTATAACGTGAAATTCGGAAAGACCCTGTTTACAGTGTGTGTTATAAAATTTTGGAAACATTTTTCAAAAACCATAGATTTGTACATCAGTAGGATAAAAACCGCTGTTTTTGAACACCGTGTACGTAGGTATTTGAAAAAAAAAAACAAAATATTCAGAAAAATAACGATAAAAAAAAATGTAATTCAAGTACCTAATTAGAACTAAAATTAAAATTAAATCTTATATTTAAAAGCAGTTAGGTACTATAATCAAAAAAACATAAAAAAAAAAAATAAAACAACACAAAGGCGATTAGGTAGTATAATATTGATAATTTTATCACGTTTAATTTGAATAAACAAGGACAAGCATTATGAAAAACAATTTTCCTTAAAATTAGTTATTAGTTATTACCCGTCATAATTTATTATCCGTAGGCAAACCTACTCTAAGAAATCTATACAAACCATTGATAACACTAAACGTTATATRTTTCAYAAGAGTAATTAACGCTAGCTTAAATAAATGTTGAGAGTTTTATTTAGGGTTTAATGTTTTCAGCTACATTAATACAACCCAACGGCGGGCATTTATTGACTGGATAAAAAATTACATCTAAAACAAAAGTAATGCACTTTAATTCAATAATATTATTTGTATGAATTTTATGCTACAATTATATTTAAAAACTAGGTATTGAAATTGTTCGGATAATCTCAGCCAGATTTATACGTTATAAAGTTGATATTATACGAAATACGATTGTAAATAATCAGTGACGTACTGGCGACTGGGGGGGAGGGGGGGTATCCGGCCCAGTGGGAACACGGGGTTACCGCGGCTCAAATAGTGTGGAATATGAAAGGGCCGTAGCCTTGTCTTTATAGTTGACAACTTGCATTTATAACCATATTATATTACCTAAATTATAAATTACAATATTATACATGGATTTATTTTGATAATCATTATCGCCTATTTTAATTGAAGCTTAAAATGTACATAATAGGAATTTTCCCACTTTCCCATCTGGACAGTCCACCTCTGTAAATAATTATAATAAGCATTCAGAAATAATTTGTTGGTCCAATTAAGGCAATTGAAGTTCAATGTAATATTAATAACGTATTAATTAAATAATAATAATAATAATAATAATAATAATGTATTTACACATATTATATCATATTATTATTGACTATCATGTAAGGTATACACCTCCATAAACATGTATATTTTATGAACACGTACTTTAGGCTATACAACTGTACATGGGTTTACCTGAAGTGCCGCGTTTTCTCATAGATAATAAAAAAGTGGATAGAGTATCGATACTTATCAGTTTTTCCAATAAATATTATGTACATAAATTTATTATCTATGCTTATCATACGATAATTGAGTGATAAGTTATAGGATATTCTCCACAGACAAAAATATATACTCGTTGATAAGACGTTTCCAATTGAGGTGTGAGGTCGTTATAGCACAGAATAAATTGAAAGAATCGTCGTGGAATGAAGGTAACATGGTGGTGGTGGTGGAGAAGGGGAGACTYGAGGGTTTAAAAAGCGTATCTGACATTGTTTGAGACTCGTGATGCCAGTTTAAGAKAAATAATTATTCTTTCTTTATGTTTTTTTTTTACAATTCGGTCAACAATGTGCATCTGAATAATTGAATTTATACAAAAATATGAGAAACGATAAGCTGCATAGCAACACGTCACAGAAAACTTTAAAAAAAAAAAAGGATATATGTGTCTATTTTCTGGAACCAATGACCTTTAGGATTATTATTGAAAATATGTTTAGACGAAATTCCTTACCGTTTATTCTGTGCTGTTATGCTACTCTTGCGTTTAGTAAAGCGGACACGTCCTATTCATTTATACAGTCGAGTCTTAGATTATTTTCTTGCTGCCTGAAGTGTTTTTAAGTTCTGTTTGAGTATACAACTCGAGAAGTACATAAGTCAAATTTATTTTTATTTCCCTTGAGATTCGAGTTATTGAGAGACACGACTGTATACTATATTTTATACCTATGGTCCTATCAGTTTCTTTATTATCTACCACCTACAAGATGTGTTGACTAAAATTAAAGCAGGTAAATATAATATCGCAATGATACCCAAACGGAATTTTACATGACATTTGTTTTGATTACGGCAATATTAATGACAATCACGCTGACGACTGTGTTACTACAAATAGCGATCGCTATGGCAATAACAACAACAACAACAACAACAATGACAACTTCGTTCAAACACGAAACACAAACCAAAGAGTACCCACACCGTTATTATTATTGTTGTTATCGTATCACCTGACGAACGCTATCGGTCACCCTAACGTCACACGTGCTGTTATTAAAATTCCGTCTGTTTGTACTAAATGTTTACGTTGCCACGCCATGTGGACGAAGATGGCCTGAGCGTAGGYGACATGTACGACATGAGATGGTCGGACGAGTTCTCCGGCGGGCTGTGCGTCAGCATATCGGTCTGCGAGCTGAGCTGGTACGACAGCTGATGGTGTACGTTGTGCGAGCTGTCGCCCGGACGGGGTTGTCCGCGTTGCGATTGGCCCCGTTCAAACGACACGCTGTGCTGCCGTCGCATGGGTGGTTGCTGTTGTTGCTGCTGATAATGCTGTGGATGCTGCTGTTGCTGTTTTTGCTGTTGATAGTGCTGTTGCGGATGGTGCTGCTGTTGCTGCTGCTGATGATGATGTTGTTGTTGCTGATGATGATTTTGTTGCGGCTGGAGGTGATGCTGCTGCTGTTGCTGTTGCTGATGATGATGATGCTGTTGCTTGTGATGCTGTTGCTGCTGCGGTTGTTTCGACTGGTACCCGATGGCCGGTGGCACGTACACCATGCTATCATGATCGCCGAGTTCGTAGTCGTCGTATTCGGTGGTGCGCATGCGCTCTAGACGCGGTGGCATGCGATCCATCGATTGGTATTCTGCAAACACATATTCACGGCGAAAACCGTTTGTTATGAAACAAATTTTATGGGACATATTGTATTGTTATCATATTATCAGGTCCAAATTTATGTTTATGGGTAAGGGGGGCATATTGTATGGCTCACTGATTTTAGTTATTAAATTAAATAATTTAAAGTTGTTTTGAAGTGAGAAAGGTTGATATTTAGAGGAGTTAAGGGGGATCCACTAAATGTCTGGTGTTTCTAGACCATCATAGTAGTGTAAGGATGGGTTYGAATAATACACAGCAAAGGATACTAGCAAAACTTAGTTTGTTTTTTCATTATATTATATGTATAATATTAAGAGGATGTCAGCGCACTATTTTTTTTCTCTCTGGCCCAGAACCATTTTTCTATGTTTTTAAATAATCTTAGAGTAAAATTACCCGTTTCAAAAAATATAGAAAATGATATTTTTGAGGGAATGACATATCGTTATTGCGTTATATTGTTATTTGATTTTGTATTCGACTTTCAAAAAAAACAAAAAATATTGTACATTTAAATGTTATTTATATTGTTTCGAGACAATATTTTATAGATAAATTGATATGTCATAGCCTCAAATATTTTATTCTCCATCTTTTTATAATGAGTAATTTTACTCTAACATTACTTAAATACATAGAAAAAATAATTCTGCATGAATGCGTTTTGTCTATGTTCAGCGTAGGCTATAGAGAGAAAATAAATAGTGCGCGTACATCTTCTTAAGTAAGTCACAAATAAACGTCGCGGACGAAAATCGAGCTACCCATGCATACACCAACACACATAGGGGCATGGGTATTTATGATACACCTGATTGAACTATATAGTCATGAACTCATGAACCATGGATAGTAAAGGAATGCGTGATATGACATAAATGCTTGTAAAGCGAGATTTAAATGAGCTTTACTTTACAAGCTATAAGAACATGGATTCAATCATTTTCATTATAGGTACTAGCTAGTGCTACAAAATGTAAGAGAACAATTGCCGCAATTCCATCACTGTACTTATTTTTAAGGGTATACTTCATCATCTACCAATCATATAAAGTACTCTTTATCTCAGTTTATAATTTTTGTAAAYAACATCAAAAATCTTTATATTGTGTATCTCTTTTTAACAAAAGGCAAACACTTTCCATCCCTCTTCTCCAAAAATGACGGCGACTCCATATGTAGTTGTCCCTTACTAGCGATATACTATTTATCCAATAAAACAAACAGTTATAAGATTCATAAAAGCTGCAGGGCATTGTCTCAAAAAAAGAGGTTGATAGAACATAAACACAATGTCAGCGGATACTCAAAATCGTTTGATAGAAGTAGATTCAGCGAGAAATCAAAGTGTGTTATTCTGTAGTGTGTAAAGACACACAACAAAGAGACATTTAAATCCTACAATATAAATATCAAAATCCGTGATTGTTGGACTGGATGGCAAGAGAAAGAATTAAAGATATATAACAGAACCTAAGGCACTATAAAACCTTAAAAATTCACTGAAAGACCMTGAAGTTTAATTTAAAATTAAATGACAGAATTAGCTTAAATTAAAAATTTTGCTATATTATCGAACAGCCAACAAATGTAAAAGAAGATTATCAAAATTGAATTCGTTATATATTAAGACTTTCTGAAGCCCAGTTTTACTATAAGTTAATATAAATGCACTTGGATATAAATGAATAACCCCAGTGACTACGTATATATTCATCTATGGACGAATTAATCCCTAGTCTACATCTGACCCCACGAGAACAATAGAATAAACTACTATAAAGCGTACAAGTTTTTTTATATGTAAAATAAATGCTATCCACGTGATTATACACAGCCAAGGACATGAAAAKATATTTTGATGTTYCCTAGGACTTCATGACCCTAACTCGATTGTCGTCCGCGAATAAACTGTGCTGGCATGTTACGAAGAATGACGATAAACTAATTTTTCGGCCACTCCATTAAAATATTCCGACTAATTCGTTGATAACATTGATAAACATAACTTAACAAATGATCATGTGAGCGTATTATGASAAAGACCTAAAGTTAACTTGTGACAATTATAAGACACATCGAACACCAAATAAAAACATGCGAAAAACTCAACTATTTTATTGTTTTAGATTAAATTATATCAAATTGTGTGGTGGACGTATTACATTAAGGAGTTCAGATTTTTGTATTCTTTGTCRTGATTAATTTTGAAAGCAAAATATTAGCATTCGACTTAAGGGTTGGGTACAGAAATTTAAAACGGAAAGGTTTAGTTTTTAAACTAGCGAGTATAATCGAAGGATGCAATAGACAGGACAACAATAGCTATATAGTATGGGAAAATTTGATGTCACAGTTAAGTTATAAATTAACAAGTTATATTAGTTACCAAAAACATAAACATTAAACCATAAAATTCTTGGAATTCCAGCTATACTTTTTAAATAAAAAAAAAATCATTAAAAGTTAAGGAAAAAATTAAAAWTTTTAGAAAACGATTTTGCTGGTGATAGTTTGACTCTTAATAATTTAAAGTCCGTTGAACTAAACAACAAAATTATAAATGATTGCAAGTTCTGGAAAAATATAACTAAAATTATCGCGCTATTTTATCTAAGATAAACAACTATCCAAAGCAATTATTTTAACGTTGTAATGATGGGTTAAGGGTTTCCATGATTTTCTACAAATGTTAGAAAAAAAAAACAATAAAACTGAAAGTCGTTAGTAGTATATGGAACAAGTGTGGAAAAAAGTGACATATTGTACTCTATACACAACGACAACGATCTCAATAAAGCAGATAGGTTTTGAACGGAAATGTCGAAAGAGTGGGATATTAAGTTGTGATCGATGTCGAAATGATAGTGTATAAACAGTCCGAATTTTGTGCGAACAGGTTGTTTCAGCATTCAATATCTGGATTAATTTCAATCGGACACGTACCTGTTTAATACATCCTTTCAGAAATTATTGTAGCTCATAGTGTATTATCTACCCAAGTTATATTAAAATATCGCATTTTGTTCCTTCACAACGCGTTGTTTATCCGTTTTAATGACAACGCACGATAATATAGCCTCATTATAACATTAAAATATTATTATATTACCTTTAAACGAACTTCGACCGCCTAAGACTCGTTACAGTGGTGCATGTTCGTTTATTAAATATAATAAAACAAATGTAGTTTGTAGGACATTAGGTAACGCGCGTTACTCTCGATGATAACATTTATATTTATCATAATAATAAGCATGTAAAAGCACGATTGAGCATAGGCTGCTKTGAGTTAATGTGATTGGGGTTGTAAAAAATACTTATAAAAAGTATTTAAGTACAGGTATTTGATTATTATATATATGGAATAGATATATTTGTGATACTTAGCAATTATATAAAACGATAAGATTTTAGTGGTGATCGTTTATTTACTACCTAAACAATTCTAAATATTTTAAATCTAAAGTAGAATACACAATGTTATATGGAATTATTCAATACAGTAAAATAGTATTTAAAATGTACTAAAATATTTCACGACACTGGTTTTAAGAGGACTTCTCTACATCTATCTAATCAGTAATAAACAATATTGRAAAATTCTACTAAGTGAAATCGAAATCGTGGCGYCAATGACAACGTTACRAAGTTTAAACATCTACTAATCAAATTTTAAGGGGATAATATTTTTAGGATAACTTATAATTTGAAATTGTTTAATACATCATTTACAACGAATTAGTTACGAATCTTCTACGTAATTGATATACCTATAGTATCTGATCATGTTCTCTTCAGATTTGGTAAAGGGTAAAGAGGKTGTTAACTGCGTAATATTAACTTAGAATTCATGGTTTCGATTTTCATTGTTGGATTTAGTTATACTTTTCGTACTTATTTAATTTATGCGAATTAAATGTATTTCAATATCACAACATTACGGAAACAACGATCTCCACTCAATATAGTATATTATTATTCTATATTATTCCGACAAGATTGTTGGAATATCTTACAACAGGATGGATAGAAGGAACCAATAATATACGTTAATAATGCGAATACTATAATATAGGTAATATATATAGGAGGACTATAGTGAGGGGCCTTGTTTGTTAAAAGCTCAATATACAGCCAGGAAATAATTGTATATAATTGTTAGGTATATATTACGGTACCTAATCGAAATATTCAAATATTATGAAGCATAAAATTTCTTTTTAAATATAACTCGAGACACTCGTTATTGTACCTTGGGCAGTTTTATGTGATTGAATATTTTAGTTTGACTTGTACCAATAAAATTAACATTATCCAACAAAACATTGTGAGTTTTTTTTAGTGTTTTAACTCTTATTAAAAGCAACAAATTTACGTTAATTATTTTTCCTAACTAACTCAACTAACTAAACTAACTAAACTCACTGCTAACTTTCAAAATGCCCAATCTTGCAAAATAATACACAAGCAGGATTATTTTTTAATCTACTCGGAATAAACGACGTTACAGTAGCTGAATATAAATATAATATAACAATATTTGTCTCTTTCAAATCAAAATAAARCCAATCCATACAGTACTATAATATAATTTTAATACAACAAAGCGAAATCATATGAGTACACTTTAAAYACAGGTAACATAATATACRTTTTGTTTAACGCGTTCATACACTGTATAGTGTATACCTAAGAAATKAAGTATATCTAGAGCTCTAGATGGGCAATACCGAGGTTAAAGTTTTATAGAAATCTCAAATTTTACCATGAGTGCTGAAAAAAATAGCWAAGTAAGCTTAAAAGATGTTTTGTAATTCCATAGAATCAAAATTAACATTTTTATTTTGCATATTCTTAGATTTTTCTGAGTTAATTTTGGAGTTCTTTTGAGACCAGATTTATAATTAAAATTGTTCATATTTTATGAATTAATGAAATTTAAATGTAATTAACATGATTCCCAATACACGTGTTCAGAATTATCGTGAAAGGAGGAACTAATGAAATAATTTGTTTTATAAATCTGCGTTAATGCGTTGTCGGAAGTACTCATTTTTGCACACGTGAGACTATTAATATAGATACTTTATCTACTTGTTCGAAATTTGTTTGGAACTTTATTACAATATGTTTATTTTTTTTTTTTTTCATATATATATAAAGTATTTTATGTTATTTTCATATGATAAAAATTATTCAGAAATTATGATATAAAATAATAATTAATACTAGATATAATATAACTATTTTTGTTATTTATGCAATTAATATTATGTATAATTCCAACTACCGTCATTACATCTTACGATACGAATAATAAGTATTATACGTAAACATATGTGGATGAAAATAATTGTTTGTATAATATTATATATAATAACAATGTAATAATATATTGAATCAATATAATAATATATATATATTATTGCATCCGGATGATGGGACTAGCGAACACGTTGATGCTCGACACCAACGAGTACGACAGTTGCGACTCACCTGTCGGCTGATAGTTGTTCATCATTGACGACATGATGGGCATGTCCATGCTCGGCGAGCTCCTGATCGGCCTAGTCAACAGCTGTTGTTCGCTGGGATCGGGCGTGACGGGCGGGTGGGTTGCGCGCCAATACGCCTCCAAGTACTCGGATATGTGTTCACACGCTTCTTCCARCTGATTCTCGTCCAGTATTACGTCGAACATCTCAGGTGGACATTGAGCTAACTTCTCGGACGCCACCATCTGCACGTTCAGGTGTCGGGTCTGCGACTTGCCCCTGGACTTTATCAAGCGCTGAAGTACCTGTAACAGTATATGCAATGGAAATTATTGTAAACTCAACATCTTTTTTGTTATAAGCTCGGCACTGATTTAACAGGTAATAAAGAAAAATAGATAGTATAAGCTCAGTCAAATAAAATATAATAAACTTGAAAGTTTGAATTAATTTGTTAATGATAAGGTACCTATATATTGTCGCGGACAATTTGTTGTTAAAAAAAAATATCATTAATATTACATATCTTATATCATCTACCTATTAATATATTATTACAACTGTATTATATTATGTGCTTGTTATTAATGAAATCTTTACTACTTTAAAAAATGTCTCCTTGTAATGTTAAGCAAGTGTAACACCTACTTACGTTAAATATATACATTTCTGTCAATTATATTATGCTTTCTGACTGTAAATAAATAATAAAGTTTAAAATAAATAGATTAATTTTCGTTTTGGAATTTTGAAATTACGTTTCAGTGCTGTTTACAAAACCATCACAATAATTGTTGATTCMATGAAATCATTTTTAGAGGATAATAAGAATATCCTTTCTTTTGGTTATGCTAAAGCTAAATAGTCAAATGGTTCTCAAAAATATTATAAGTTAATAGGTACCTATGAGTAAATACTAAATAGAGTACTATTTTTAATTCTAACAGGATTTAGATATCAATAATTTTTCATGAACTATAAGTAATATAAGTATTCAAAAATCGGGAGCAAACGTGTGCACATATTAATATATATATATATATATATATAATCAATATATTTCGCTATATAATATTAATCTTCCGATTACCGAGTATAGTATATATATTAGAAGGTACTATGTCAAGTGTTCGAAAGTCATGTGTTAGAAAGTCAAGTGTTATAAATTTAAGTCTCATAAGAGTCATGTGTTATAAAACGGATTTCTCATAAAAATCATGTGTTATAATATAATATTTTTAGAGCG